TTGTAAAAATTACACCAAATTGACAACAGTAGAGGGTGGGGCTTGGGGTAGTTATTTTATTTTTGTTCATCTATTTTCTAAGTTATTTCGCAATGAATGTATATTATTTATGTTAAAAAACAAAAGTTAGATGCTGAGCCAAAATACAAAGGCACAATGTCTCAGGTAAAAAGACTCTTTCACACACACCCAACATTTCCATATCTGGACCCTAATCATGCAGAACCAAATGCCCTACAACCTCAGGTCGCCCTTGGGCAAGAGTGCCCAGGAGCTGCCCTGACCACTTCTTCTGGCTCCGAACCCAGGCCCCTCTTTCCTCCGCTCGTGAGAGGCGTGTACCGCACAGGAACCCGGAGGAAGGGCGGCAGGTGCTGGGGACCAGTCTCCATCCACTTGCCCACCCGACATGTGGACATGTCGAGCCTACTCACCCGACATGTGGACGTTCCGGAGACAGGAGAGGGAGGCATTGAGGCGAGCACACTCCTCTCGGTTGGCCCCGTATTTTTCCACGGTCTCACACACCTGCTCATCCGTCATCTCCAAGAGATCCTCCAGACTCAGCTGGCCGGGGGTGATTTCCTAGCAGAGGGAGGAGAGGACGGTAAACAGACCGCTAGCGCCCAAAGGGGAGGCTTCCGTGCTGCCCTCTAGTGGTGCCTAGCGGAACACCCGGCTCTGTGTGGATGGCGGCTTGACATAATGGTTGGGTCTCTTGACTCTGGGGTCAGACAGGTCTGGGTTTGAATCTCAGCTTTGCCACTCATTAGCTAGGTGACCCCGAGAAAACTACATAACCTCTCTGAGCCTCACTTTACTCACCAGGAAAATGGGAATCTTAAGCGCACATACTTTGTAAGGTAGCACGGATGCCTAGCACACAGTCTGTAAACGGTGGTAGCTAACTAATTACGTGTCTGATTCCCCATGCAGCTTCTGAACGCCTCATGGGCCGGGCTCCAAGTTACTGTTCTTGGAGGGCCCTCCATGAGTCCTGCCTGGCTTGGACTGCAGTGACTTGTCCCAGATCGAGGGTGAACTCAGAACAGAGCAAACTGGACAGCCCGTCTCTCCTGATGGCTGTTCTCCATTGCCTGCTTCTCCCTTTCCCAGCCACACTTTCTGGGGTTCAGACTGGGGAGTTAGGGACCCTAAAGGGAAACGGGCGGAACCCTGTATAAGTGGCTCAGTGCTGTAAGTGAAACTGGATTTGTGTCTGAGCTCTCAGGGGACACGACTTTGCAATCTAAGACAAATCTAGCATGGAATGGGCAAAGAGATCTTTTAAGAGATGGGCTGGGAACAGAAAAGGTAGGATTCCCAGCTATGAATGTGTTGGTCAGGTATGTCTTCACCACCGCCAGCAACCACCCCTCTTCCCCAAAACAGTGTGTCCCTATACACATAATATGGATACACCTTGAAATGTGTCATACTTCTATATTATGAATCTACAAAAAAAAGATCCTTCACTTTATAGCACTTAATAGTATCTAATGGTTTTATATTTATTATGATTACGACTGCGCCTTAAATAAAATTTTTAAATCTCTGAGGATAGAGATTCGAAGGCAATATTGTGGAATACTTCTGTCCTCTTGTGGCCATATCTGAGTATTACAACAAAATCCAACACCATCCCGTTCTGCCCTTAAAAAAAGATGCAGAGGGAAAGCTAAAACCCAGTCAGTGCCTTTCCAGCTCCCTAGGTCAGAGGGCAGAGAGAGAACGATAATGAGTCACTTGGAGGCTTCCTCAAACACGGATACGTTGCAGGGAAGCCCCACTTTAAGAAAGATAGACCAGGATCCGAAAGTACAAAATGACATTTAGGAGGGATGAGTCACAACAGAAAATAATTCTCCTCTTTGCTGCAGGATTCTCTCATGTATTTTAATCCTATAATTTACACCCTCCCACCAAAAAATACTCAATCTACATTGAACTTCATCTTCATACACACACACACACACACACACACACACACACACACACAAATCACAAAAGGAATAATGACAGAAAAAAATGGAAAAGCTTGGCCCCAAAGAGGAGATGTACCCTGATTGATTTAATTATTATAATAATAATAATTGAAAGGGATGGAGCAGTGTTTTGAGTGCTCTTCATGGATTTTCTTTTAAGGTCACAAAGACCACATAAAGCAGGTACTTTGACCAACATCAACAGTCTGTAACTGTAACCGAGCAGGACCCTATGGGGCCTTCCCCGGACAGACCCCTCCCCATACCCTCTGCTTTAGCTCCTCTCTGAAGTAGCCAGATAATACTATCTTTTGTATATTTCCTGAGTTTTTCAGATGTGACATGCAGTGGTGGATGGGGGAACGTGGTGGTCCTTTGTCCCCAGCTCAGGGCTGTTAGATGTGGTGGCTTCAGGCAAGATCATACTGAAAAACCACCACCAAATGGAAGCAATTAATTACCTGATGATCATAAGCACGTGGCCACCGGACTTTCTGGCACCTAAGGATTGAGCACCGTCAATCAATCAAAAAATTGTGCACAGCTGATCACAGACCCTGGGACGCCCCTCCCTCAGCTAGCCTTTAAAAATGCTCAGCTGAAACCGTTCAGGAAGTTCAAGGTTTTGGGGGCACAAGCTATTCATTGTCTTTGGCCCAGCAACAAAACTTTCTCTGCTCTAAACTCCAACATTTCGGTATTTTTTGGCCTCACTGTGGGTCGGGCACACGAACTTGTGTTCAGTATCACAATTAGGGCACTGAAATTCAGAGAGGTAAGACCACTGCCCAAGGTCACACAGTTAGTTTGAATCCAGGCTGTCTCACTTGGGAGCTTCCTCCACACTTCTGGTTCCTCCACAGAAGGGGGACCTCTGGTGGACAAACGGGTGAGCTGCAGACAGAGAGCTGGAACCGCAGCTTCATCCACATCTTGGATTTTCCATAGACTACGGTAAAAGAAAGGGCTTGGGCCCCTGCGGTCCAGGTAATCGTAAATGAGCAAAGCTGCTAACTAGAGGGAGCCTGTGGGATCCAAAGAGGCAGCAGAATTTGGTTCATTGACACCAGACAGGAATTCACTTCTATGCGGTTAGCAATTTCAATTTTTCAAGAGAAGCCGAAGATTTGGAGTTTTTAATGTGCACTCTTTCAACTTTTAAGTACCTGCTCAAAAACATTTTTTTTGAACATTATATCGCCCAGACAGAAAACGTCTGTGCATCAGATACAGCCGAGGGCCACCGGTTTTCAACCCCTGGCCTGGAAGATTTGTCTCTGTTTCATTTGCCTCACTTAATAAATAAATGGTCTCGAAAGCCTCTGAAAAGTGGAGCCATACAAATTAAATGTACTGTCTGTATTTATATGGAACCTTTCACTTTAAGGATATTCACGCGAAATCGCCATCCTGGGAATGGTATTAAGGAACGGTAAGCATACACCATCTGGTGCGCATGCGCAAGGTGCGGTGGTGGATGGGGGTGGGATCAACGAATTTAGCAGTCCTTTGTCCCCAGCTCGGGGCTGTTAGATGTGGTGGGTTCAGGCAAGATCACACTGGGAACAAGGTCTAAAAAAGACAAAATGTGGAAGAGAATCTTCAAGGAGAAAGCAGGGAGCGCCTTGAGAAAGTGGCACTTGGTCCTGCAGGCAAGGAGGGCACCCAGCCCCTCTTACCCAGATCAGGGAGGCCCCAGCAAAAGGAAAAGGAGGGGAAAGCATAGCGCTCCCCACCGTGTGCTCTGGAGACCATCCGGACTGCGTTTTCCTGCGAGCCCCACCCGCTCACTAGCAGGGCAAGTCGCTCCTTCCCTGAGCCTCGGTCAGAAGTCAAGAGGTCGTTGTCAGGGTCTGAACAACTGAGATCTTGCTTGTAAAGCCCTTGTGACAATGCCTGACACTAAGGATTCAATAAACGTGAGCTGAGTTTATTCCGAAAGGTTCCACTCAGTCACTGAAAACAGTGGGGACCCAAGACCCCAGAGGGTAAGGAAACCTCACCATCCTTGAGAACTTAAGGATGTGGTCCATTCCCGGAGGACAGACACAAGGCAACAGGGGTTCTGGTTTCGCTCTGTCACTGGAAAAGCTGTCACTTCCAAAGTTGTCAGCAACAGCAACACCGATAACAATAATCACTAAGTTGGCATTTGCTGGGTGCTATTAGGTTCCAGACTATGGGCTGAGCATTTATACAGATCATCTCATTTTATCATGCCAGCTACTTAAGAAGAGGAGACGATCATTATCCCCATCGAACAGATGAGAAAACTGATGTCCTACGACTGTGGGGCCCAATATGGTGGTGACTGGCCACATTAATTAACATTAAATACAATTAAGAATTCAGTTCTTCAGGCTCACACACTAACCCCAATTCAAGAGCTCAACAGCTCCCTGTGGCTGATGGCTCCTCCATCAAACAGGGCGGGTATGAAATATTTCCTTCACAGCAGAACCTTCTGTGGGACAGCACTGATCTAAGAGGTAGTGATTTGGCCCAAGTGACTGAGTTCCTCAGTGGTGGAACTAAAAGGGGTTCTACCTGACTCTAGAACCATACTCCTAATGACCCCATTCAGACAGCATCTGAGATGCTCCATGCCTTCATCCAACACATATTAAGTCCTACTATGTGCTAGGCACAGCGCAAAACCCTCGGCCCAAGGGGCTGGCTGCTGCCGGTAAGGGATGGGGGCAGGAGTGGCCTCCGGTCACCTCCAGGACTTCCTTCCGCACGTCCACGATCCGGAACCAGTGCCGGAGCTGCGGGAAGCCGTCTAGCTCGGCGTTGCGTTCCTGCAGGGCCACCTTCTTTTTGCAGGACAGCTGCCGGCTGAAGTACTTCACCAGCTTGCTCTGCGGAGACACAGATGAGAACAGAGGACACATCTCAGGGGCACTGTCACAGGGACTAGAGGCAAGTTATCTCCCCAGTGCCCCCTCCTTGCCCCAACTCCATCCAACTCCGTATTTTAAAGACCGGTTCAACTGCTGTGAGACCCAGTTTCCACTCGTGTTCCCCACCGGGTTGGTGAAGGTGGGCACCAGGCAGGTTCTGGTGTTTTGCTGGGAAGGGAGGGAGGTGTGCGTTGTTCCAGTTTAGTTGAGGGGAGGGCGCGATGCTTGGGCTGTATCCATCCACATCTCCACCACACATATCCTTTGACCTTAACAGTTGCACTTCTAGGAATGCATCTTACAGACACCCTATCCTGTGCAAAATGACTGTGTAAAAGGATATTTCCTACACTTCTGTGTGCAAACGCAAAAGACTGCAAACACCCTGAGGGGCCATCAGTAGGAACCTCGTCATAAATGCGGATACACGCACACAGGGGAACTGTGTGCAGCTGTAAAATAAAACGAGGATGCATGCTATGTGCTAATACAGCACGGTCTCCAAGATACGCTGATAAATAAAAATAAATACTCTCTCGTTCATGTGGGAACCGTTTACATGTATATCTCTGTAAATGCAGACACACTTTGGAAGAGTCCCTAATCTTCTAGGGAAGGGAAGAGGGAGGGTGGGGAACAGAGGTGAGAGGACCATTTTATTTAAACCCTTTTGTGCTATTTGAATCTCAAGTCACATGCAAGTATGCACAAATTAACAAATACTTTTAAAATCAGATGGACCTGAATATCCATGATTCTAGAGGGATGCCATGACATGAGAAAGGCAAGATTTTTGGGGTTTTTTTTTTACTTGCCCATTATGTAAAAACTAACATTAACCAAAGAAAGGCAATGTGTGTGCATGAGCAGAGACAAAAGTGTGGAAGACACACCTGAGCCTTGCTAACTTGGGACGGAGAGGCTCTAGAGATGGAGTGAGAAAAAAAAAAAAAAGGTTGTATTTTTTTTATATTGTTTTGCTTTGTTTCAATAGTTACCCACAGTATATTATCATCTTTGTAGTTTAAAATCGATTTAATGAAGATAATGAAACAAAAATAAAATCCTTAGTTACATAAATGCCTTTGATATTTCAAAGCACCTGTTAACCAATATTTATCAAGAAGGAATGGTAGAGAGCATGCTTAGCATGCAGGAGGTCCTGGGTTCAATCTCCAGTACCTCCATTAAAAAAATAATTAAAAATAAATAAATAGACTTAATGACCTCCCCCACAAAAAAAAATTAAAAACAAAAGGAGACAGTCCTGGAATTCTAGGACCACAGGGTTGGGAGCAGGGGATGATGGCAGTGCACTCAGAGGACAGCCCTCTGGAGTCATCAGGGGGCTGCCGCAGAAGCCAGGAGCTGCCCGGTCATCCCTGCTGCCATCTGGGAGAGCCTGCCTGAGACTGAATCCCATTGGAGGAAATCAGGAAACTGGTTTTTAAGTGAACATTAATTTCATTCACCTCACTAATAAAAAGAAAGTTGCCATTTGTTGATAAACCTGCATTCCATTGCAATTAACAGCACAATCATCGTGTTAAGCTAATCTACCTAGAACTCTTTTGACTCGGAATCTCAATTTCGAGTTTCAGAATAGAAAATGTCAAAAAGAATATGATGTGGTTTTTCTTTAATTTATTTCTGAATGGATAGGGTCTGACCTACTGAAATTTCAGAGCTGGGCCCTCAGCTGAGATATCTATTGAATGCTCATGTCTGTCTTTTGTTTTATGACTTGTTTTAACTGTTTTCTTGATATAGGTATGGAAAATCACACAAAAGAAATAAATATACTTTGACACATCTCCATCATTCTTTGAGCAGAAAGAAAAGAGAATGAAGAAAAATGAATAAAGCCTATGAGACCGGTGGGAAATCACCAAGTGCACCAACATATGCATAATCGGAGTCCCAGCAGAGAGGAGATAAAGCAACAGACAGAAATAATATTTGAAAAAATAATGGCAGAAAACTTCCATAATCTGGTGAAAGGTGTGAGTCTGCACATCCAGCAGTTCAACAAAACCCAAATATAAATATATAAACTCAAGAAGATCCACATTAAGACATATTATAATCAAATTGTTGAAAATCAAAGACAAAAGGTCTAAAATGTAATATTATCCAGTGATTAAAAAGAGTGAAATCCTACCATTTGTGACAATATGGAGGGACCTTGAAGGTATGATGCGAAGTGAAATAAGTCAGACAGAGAAAGACAAATACTGCATGATATCATTTATATGTGGAATCTAAAAAAAAAACAAATGAAAAAACATAAAACAGAAACAGAGCTGTAGATACAAAGAACAAACTGGGGTTGACGGAGTGGAGCTGTGTTGGGGGATGAGTGAAATAGGTGATGGAGATTAACTGGTACGAACTTCCAGTGACAAAACAAACAAATCTCAGGGTGAAATGTACCGTATGGGAAATATAGTCATTAATAATGTAGTATGTTTGTGACAGTACCATCGTGACAGATGGTAACTTTCTGTTCATCAGACTCGATAATTCCAATCAACTCATCTTCAAGTTCTGCTGATTTCTTTCCTTGCTTCATCAAATGCACAATTGAAAGTCTCTAGTGAATTTTCCATTTCAGTTACTGTACTTTTCAACTCCAAAATTCCATTTGAGTTCCTTTTTATGATTTCTATCCCTTTATTGAATAGTCTCTATCTCATGTGTGTTATTCTGGTCTCATTTACTTCTTTCTCCATGATATTCTTCAGCACGTTGAACGTATTTAAGACATTTAATTTAGGATATTTTCCTATTAATTCCGACTTCTGGGCTTTCTCAGATGTAGAAAATTTTCTGTTAATTTGTTTTCTGACTATGAATGAGCCATGCTTTCTGGTTTCTTTGGATGCCTTGTAATTGCTTGTTGAAAATTGGATGCTTTGAATAGTATAATGTGGTAACTTTCAAAATAAAATTCTCCTTTCTCCCCAAGATTTGTTACTTTTTGTTGTGGATTATAGTCATTTATCTGTCTAGTGACTTTTCAATACAATTTTTGTAAAGATTGTAATTTTATTCATTTGTGTTCACTGAAGCCCATGTTCCCTCGGCTTGGTGGTCATCTGCTAATCTGTCAGAGTTTCCTTAAAAGATTGAACTGAACTGAATGACTCCACCAAAACACCGGATTTAATTGACAATTACAGAACATTTGATCCAGCAACGGGTGATCGCAGGCATACGTCAGAGATACTGTGGGGCCAGTTCTAGGCCCCTGGGAGATTAGAAGTTTCCCAGTAGGTCCCCACTGACGGTTCCTCTGGAAGTGGTTCTGGAGTATGAATAGGTTGTACCTGTGTGGCTGCTCAGGATGAAGAGGCCTGGGGTGGCATCGTGGCTGTGAAGGGCAGGGCCTGGCCAGGATGCTGGACTCCAGACAGAAGTCTGGGAACCATGTCTGCTGCTGGTCTGAAACTCTGGAACAAATGGCAGCGAAACCTCAGCCCTCCGAGTCCTGGGAGCTCTAAGAAATGGCTGTTGGAGGATTCTGTGTCTGGGCTGATTTGCCGTACGTTTTTCCCCTGAACCATCATCTCGTCTCATCCGCCCACCTGGCCAGCGTGCCTGGCAGGTTGCCTGGTGCCAGCCTTGCTCCCAGGGGCACCGAGGTTGACGCTGGACCTCCTGGGCCCCCTGTACACCTGAGATCTGAGCGGGAACTTGGGGCTGCCTGCTTGGTCAGAGGCTGCTCACCTGCGTAGAGGGCGAGTCGGGGCCCCCAGGGATGAAGGAATCCAGGCTGCAGTGGAGCAAGCTTTCACGTGCTGGGGGCTCGAGAGGGCCAGCTCACTAGAGACTGGGGGACTCTGGGCCCCAGGACCAGGACTGCAGTCCTGCTGGCTTCGATCCAGAGTTTATTCCAGCCGTTTCCCTTCCTACAGTTTTATCACACTTCTCAGTGAGAAAAACAGTCCTCCATGGATTCACTGATTGGCTCACCTGCTGGATTCGGCTGATTGCCCAGCGCCACGAGGCCACTGTCCTGCCTGGGTGCTGCTCTCATGAACCCCAATCCCTGCCAGGGGCCTTCTCACCCCAGCTCCGCTGCTCGCCTTTTTTGTTTTTGTCTTGTTTTATTTTCCCAGATCTTGACGTTTGCCAGTGGATTCTCAAATCCTATACCCCGTCACCACCCCCATCTCTGCTCTGGTTTCACACACTAGAAGCAGATGGGAGTGAGACTGATTTAATCTCGGTGTCCAGTGTCCAAATGGTCATTTCACCAGCCACGTGTGAACACCTGCACACTCAGAATATGGCTAGTGCCACTAGGAAATGGAATTTTTAATTTAATTTACTTTATATCATTTTTTTCTTCCAGTTTTATTGAGATACAATTGACAAACAGCACTATGTACTTTTGCGTGTGTGCTGGGGGTAGGCAATTAGGTTTTATTTATTTTTAATCGAGGTACTGGGGGATGAACCTAGGACCTCATACATGCTAAGCACACACTCTACCACTGAGCTATATCCTCCCCACTTAAATTGAAATTTGAAAACGGAAGCCATGAACAGTATTTTTCTGTTAAACGTAACTTTGTTTTGACAGAACTACTTGTTACTTCAACCTTAAAATTTTAGTGTCCGAACTGAGATGTGCTGTAAGTGTAAAGTACACAACGGATTTCAAAAACTTGGTAGGAAAAAAATAACATAAAATATTTCATTAATATTTTTACATGGATTACATGGTTAAATGATAATATTTTGGATACACTGGGTTAGATAAAATGTTATTACAATTAATTTCATCTTCTTTATTAATGTGGCTACTAGAAAATTTTAAACTATACGTTCGGCTCACACCTGTCACTCTCATTATATTTCTAGTGGACAGTGCTCCTCTAGGGTTTTATCCTAAAGAAATAATTAAGGATATTCATGAAGTTTTGCTCCAAGTGGGTAACAGCCATGAAAGA